TCCAGTATTTTTTTCTTTGACCTGGAAGCCCTATCATGTTCTGAGAGTTGTCTTTTGGGGCTCTTCGTTCAGGAAGAACCATTGGAATTCTGGCTGTTTTCCACTTTACTATCTTTCTAATACATCTTGGCAGTTTTCTTTCATGGTTTCTTGAAATATTATATTCAGGCTCTTTTTTGAAGTGTCGAGGCTTTCTGGCACTGCATTGGCAGACCAGTGATTCTTAAATTGTCTCTCCTTGAATTTTTTTTCAGTCATTTGTTATTTGTAAAGGTATTTGTTAAATACCTTATATTTTCTTCCATTTTCCCAGTCTTTTGACTTTGTTTTAACTTTGTTCATTTTCCAGTAGAGTCATTAACTTCTTTTGCTTGATTTTAATTTTCAGGAAGTTGGTTTTTTTTTGTTTTTTTTTTATTTTTGTAAGATGTTTTATATCTTGTGCTAATCTAGTTCTTGCTTCATTTCTCTGCGGAATTCTAGTTAACTTCATAGGCAAGCTTTGTTTTAATTTCAGGCTTTGCTTGTGGGCCTTTCTGAGTTATTTTCTTCCGGTTTGTATCTCGGATGTCACTGGTACCAAAATGACTCTTTATCGTGGGAGTCTTTTTTTGTTTATTCAGTCTTCCAGCTTTAATTCCCAAATTGGTCCTTTATATTCGTCCCAGGCTCCAAGTACTTCTGGAAGGAATGTCTTATTTGGTTCTGTTCTGTATACCTTGAGGATCTGCTACTGCTTTTTTGGGTTACCTCGGGTACTATATTCTTCAAATATCTCAGGGTTGGTTCAGGCCAGAAACCTGCAAAATTTTAGTGCACTCTAAGCACTCTGACACAGGGCAAAGTCTGATTGTTGGCCCTCTGGTCTGACCTTTGCAAGCTCCTGACCACAGTTTGTGCCTGGGCCACACATCTATAGGCTTATCTCTGATTTCAGTGTCAGTAGACTGCTGATGGCCCTCGTCCGTATCCGGTGGCTGCAGTGCTTTGCAATAGAACTGCAATGTCATCTCTGTTATGAGCTCCCTGTCCTGGTCACTGTTACAAGCCTCTGACCTGGCCCTAATCACTGATGCATGTGTCAGACTGGGCTGAGGGCAGAGCCTCACGCCAGCAGCGACAGTGCCCTTCAAGTGATCCTCTTGCTGCCGTCTGCCCCAGAACCCAGCCTCAGGTAACTCCAGGACCAGCCTGTTCCAGGGGTTCAACTCTGCAGCTACCGGATTGGCCCCTGTTCTTGCTCCCTAGCCTGGAGAACTGGTTTTCTGTTTTCTTCTAGTTCCATTCATGATCAGTACCTGGTCTTGTCAAATCTTTATTTGAGTAGTTTAGGGATCAAGCTGGGCTGCATTGCTTCCTCCCACTCCACTGTCTTGGCTGTTCTCTTCCTCATTTTAGGCTTGATGTCAGTCAGTCAGTCAGTTTTCCTAACCATTACAAAAGGCTGCCTCAAATAATGGTGGGTTCCCCCTCCTTGGAGGTCTTTAAGCAAAATCTTAATGATCATTTATCTCAGATGTAGGCTGAATAAGATCATTTTGCTGAGGCCTCTTTCCTACTCACACAATCTGTGGTTTTGAGTTTTATTGTAAGGGATTTTTTTTTAACCTGTAACATTTCTCTTTGTACTTATTTAGTTGTTATCCTCCTCTCCTGATCATCGCCTTTCCTGCAGTACCGGATAGGTACAAATAAGGCTCCCCTTCGCGGCATGTGGGGATTAGATTGCTGAGCGGTCAGATCTGGAATGGATAGTATGGGCTTTTTTGTTGCTGTCTTGGTTGTGAGATGTGGGGAGAACATCTAACTCCTGAGTGCTTCTTCTAGTGCACATCTCCTGTGTTTTGATCATCTGCTTCATTTGACGTTTTACCTTGTTTCTTGCAAGGCTTTGGACTGGAGAGAGTTGAGCTTGTTTAGAACCAGCCATGTTTCCATCTTTGCTAGCTTTGTTTTCAAAATGTGATGAGTTGGGGAAATGTAAGCTATAGGACATTGGTGCTGCTGGGTCCATTGTATAATGAACTGCTCTTGGGTTAAGGACTATGCATATCTGTTACTAGAATGTGTGAAACATAAGGAAGCAAAGGACCCAGCAATGGTATTTAGTTAAATATAGAACTGAAATTTATATAATTGTTCGAATATGTCAAAATTATTTAATATATGCATTTATTAAAATGTCATAATAAAATCCTAAGTGACTGCTTCAGTCAGTATTGATGCTCTTAAATATCTTAAGAAAATCTTTGGCAATCAGTGGAAATTAATGAGTAATAGAAGCAAATAGAGAAAGCAAATTTTTCATTGTCAATAAATATGGGGGATGTATATATAGGAATAAAATATATACAATTAACTTATTTTACATATTTTCTTTTATGAAAATCCTGTGGTTTTCATAAAATTTTTAGTATTTTTATTTAACTTTTTTTCGATCTTTTATTGCTATAGGAAGAAAAACTCTCTAACCATAATTAACTAATTATATGCCCTTACAATGTCTGTTGTCACAGCACTCCATCCTTACTAGAATCTACAAAGTAGCTATATGTTAGTACTTGATTTAAGGAAGAAACTTAATTAGTAAAATGTAGTCTCAGCTCTGTCACTGTGGCTTACAGATATGATACTTTTAGGTCTCAGTTTCCTTTTCTGCAAAATAAGAGGATTGCACAGAAGTCCTTTAAAATTCTAACATTCTTTTACAGTGAGAAGGAAGTAGTGAAATAGTTGATAAAGACTTTCCTGAGTAGTGTATGTGAAGGACTCAAGATTGGCTTAGAGGAGACAAATAGTACTAAGCTCTAACTTGGAGGAAAAAGTCATGCTTGTTTCCTAATTCTTCAAACACGACTCTATTGTGTAAGTCTGCCTCTGATTTAGATTCGTATGTTTTGGAATAGACAGAAGAAGAGGCATCAGGCTTTAGAAGAGTAGTGAACCCAAGGCTGTGTAAGCTGGATACGGCTAATTGAAAAGGACCAGACCTATCAGCAGATGCAGAAATTTGCTTGATGTCCTTCGAGATGTTCTTAATTCCAGTTCTTCCAGTCTCTCAGATGCTCAGTTTCCTCATCTCTAAAGCGAAGGGAGTCACCTTCGTGACTAGATGTTCTTTGTCTAAGAGCAAGCCTTCATGCTCATGTTCAGGGCCATTCCCTCCATGTGTATTATTGAGTAGCTACTCTGTGTCAATCCCTGGACATATGTGCTGGGGATGATACAGAGAGAAAAATGAAACAGAAAACAAAAGATCAATTCTCTAATTGAAAGCTGCCTTTGTGCTTTGTTTTTATTTCACTGTTTCTCATTAATCCTGTGCCGATACAAAATCTGCCTACACTTAACTGTTACCATTTGTTTTTGCACCAGATTTTCAGACTTTGATTATGTAACCAAAGCAAAAGCAATGAATCAAAATAGTTTAAGAAAAGTAAATTCTATTCCTGAAGTTCCTTGAACAGCAAGATAGATCTTGCTTGATTTGATTATGGAGAACAGGCCAAACAAATAAGAAAGGTAGCTATAGAATTATTTTGAATACCTTAAATTCAGTACAGGCAGATTTTTTAAAATGCTTCCCTGGCTTTACTTCTGAATCTGTTTGTATACATTCTGTTTTGAGGTGCTGACTTCATATTAAACAAACCATATTTATTCAGCTTAATTGTATGCCGTGTTAGGAGAGTTAGAGGATAGATGAAGGCAATGACAAATGACCACATGTGCCTCGTCTCCCTTCCTTTTTGCTCCTTTAACGTAGGGGTTTCAAATTATCGATTAGCCAAAGGTGGCTGTTGTTAAGTCCTTTTTGTGAGGAGGGTAAGAGCACCTACAGGAAGAAAAGCCTGGGAACAGGGGGCATATGTAAGCCAAAAATGAGAGTGAAAGTATGCTAATCATAAGTAAATCTCCATCGTCATGAGGAAACAAAATATTAATATGAATTTCACTTTTAAATGAAATTTCAGTTTTAAATAAACATGCTTTTATCAGCATCAGCATGTTGCTAATTTGGGAAAAAAGTTAATACATTGCCTTTCATGGTTTTAGCAAATAGCAATTTATTATATCCAAGATGTGCTTCATTCATAAGCTGTTATTTTAAATCATATTAAGGTGTGAAAAATATTTGCTCATGTATTCTAGGTAATATGAAAGCTATTATAATTTTGCTTTTTATCAAGATTGTGTTTCTTTGAGAAATAAGGGATTCAAGTTACTTTTTACTTGCCCATGACAGCAGGATGAGGCAAGGAACCTGAGGTCTTAACGAGATTAGTTTTTAAAGTTGTATTCATCTGCATTTGAAACCCTTAATAAATTCATAAAGCAGAATCCATGTAATTGAATAATAAAAAATATCAGCACTCTTACAAATAAATGGAGTTTTATTTATTAAGATCATTTAATTGAGCACTCACTATGTAGTAGGTTCTGTGAGGGATAAAAAAGAAGCATTCACTGCCCTTTCAGGTACTCAATCCAGTTCAAGAGGCAGGACATAAGCACAAACGCTAGATGACCACTTAGCTGGATTTGAGGATTTAGATCTAGAAGAGAGTCTGAGCTGGTCCTTTTGTAGTTGAAGAAACTAGGGCTCAGAAAGGTTCACTAACCTGCCCAGAGTCACACAGCTAGGTCCTAAATAACAAAACTGAGACTGGCACCAGTGCCCAAGGCCCAGGGCTGCTGCTGTCTACATGGCACCCCTTGATGCAGTAGATGGGGGAGGGAGTAGAATGGATCACATGACACTTCCCATGCCTTTTAACATTTAAATTCTATTAGTTCATAATTCTGAAAGTCAATAGTAGGATAAGATACCAGTAGAAAAAATGCCACAAGATAATGTGTAAGTGAATATAATTTAGATAGATGTAATAAAGGTTCATTTTCATAAACACCACTATTCCTGCCTATTTAAGCTCTGTGTATTGTATACCTTTAGATGATAGAAAATGCATGTTTCATTTTTTTTGTTCTTTATTATACAGGTTTCTGCATGTTTGTACTGAGCTTAGTGAAGAAACATTATCGTCTTCAGTTTTACATGGTGTGTATTAACCATTTTTTATGGTCACTGATTTGTTAAAGAAATAAGTATTTCAAAATTTTCTTGGCTATACTCTTGAACATTTGAACTTATGCAGTTTCAAACAGGTGCATGTACCCTTCAGCATAAGGGATAATAATTGAAGTTAGAAAAGGCCCTTTTGAACCCAACTTAATCTTTACAGATGAAATATCTGTTATGAGGTAATAAATGTACATTTAAAGCCCTTTGATTTTGGAGTTTAAATAATCTTGTAATATTAAAAGTGTTCTTTTGTTCTTTAAAATTAATGGATATTATTATTCATAACTTTAGAGATTTTACCTCTATGACCCTTTAATAAGTTAAAATTGGAAAAAGTTTATGCCATCCTTCTCTAGGAGAGATTATTTTCACATAAAGTATCTGGAGGATAGCAGAAAGTATGTACGTCTGAGTAGTACAGTTTGTTAGATTTCCAATCCTGTCAGAAGCAACATGGCATGGTGGATAGAGTGCTGGACTTGTCCATGTCACTAAGACATGGATTCAAAACCTTCGCCCTTGCACCCCGTCTTTGACATTTGCTAGCTGTGTGACCACGGGTGAATCACTTAACCTCTCTGATTCTTAGGAAGCTCTCTAATCCACTTGAGTTAAAGAGGTCTCATTCTCCCTCAGTGCAGGGAGTTTCCCACTCCATTAAAATGCCAGCATATGATTATAGATTTAGAGCTTACAAGGACGCTCAGAGGCCATCTAGTTCAACCCACTCATTTTACAGATGGGGAAATTGAGGCTCAGGAAGTGTAAGTGACTCTAGTCACACCAGTTGTAAGTGTAAGCGGTCCTCCAACGTCAGGGTCGGTGATCTTCCCAGCATTCCATGCTGTCCTCATATTGTTGTATCCAAGTCTTGGTTTTATGTACCTTTAAGCTACATGTATGCTGAACTAATTTCCTTTTTAAACTGTGAAGCTAACATGCAATTATTTAATTTAAATAGAATATTTGGTTTTGTGAATACCAAATTCTGCTACTACGTGGTGCAGTTGAAAAGAGCATCGGATTTGTAATCAGAAGTCTTTTATGCTTAATACTTTTTATACTTAATACGTGTGTGACCTTGGGTAAGTCACTGCACTTCTGAGCCTCAGTTTTTAGAGGATTAGGTGATCCTGAAGCTCCTTTCAGCTCTAAAGCTGTGATCATATTATCCAGCTAACCAATTGGTAGCATAAAGGAATAATGAAATGTAAAAAGAAGCAACTAGAGAAGTCCAAAGTGATGAATACTTTTTAGCTTCACAGGCATGCTGTTGTCCCTAGAAAAGGTCACTGAAGCAGGAAAAAAATATGATCTCTAGCTCTTGGTTGTCAGCCGGAAGCAGGTATACTGTGAATAAATGAAAATGCCAGAAATACCCCAGCTGTATTATAGTCAAACATATTATTTCTTAACTAGGTTTTTTTGAGGTAAAAGAAAAATCGTTGTTTCTATTTGGTGATAACTTCCCTTTCACTTACCTACCTTTAAGTGAAAGTGCCAAAGGTCATTGAAATTTCAAAAGAAGGAAGAATTCTAGAGCCCCTGAGAAGCCACAAACTGCAGTGATCAGCAGTGAAATCCACAGAAGAGTTTCAGACTTTAGGGGCATCTGAACCTTTTGATGGATGTTCAGTTAATTTGAATTGTTTGAAGTCAGGAAAAGTCAGCGAGGGAAAGGAAAGCCATTTTTAAGCCTGTCAGTATGCTTGGAATATAAGTACTCAGAATGTTGATCTAAATTAATTATTAATTTATTATTATTCTTAATGTTATTAATAATAATCATTAAATTAATTAGCTCACAAATAGTACCACATAATAGCTCACACTGGTATTATGGAATTAGTAATAACCTCATAAATTCCTCATTACCAATTTAACCTGATTCAGATATGTCTTTATATAGTATATCACAGTATCTACCATTTGCTTCTTTTTTAAAAAGTCCAGATGCTTTTAAATTGTATGATAAAAAGCATTTTTCTAGCTTTTTAGAAAACATATCATAACAACAGAGTTGTATTATACTGCATAAAGACAACATTAAGTACTAAAACTGATGTCAGAAATTTGAATGTGCTCATTGAAGCATCTGCTCATTATTTCCTCAGCTTTAGGTGCCTTGACCTGTGTAGCATTCACTAATTGTTATCTTGTTGCACTATTAACAGTTCGCATGGACTCATGTCACTTTGCTGATAACTGTAACTCAGTCTCATCTTGTCATCCAAAATCTGTTCGAAGGCATGATATGGTAAGGGGACCAAGAATAAATTGCTTTCTGATGGCTTCTCAAACACTAATTCTACTCTTAATTAAAATGTATTTTTATTTGAGTATTTGACAGCAAAGGACCAAATTCTTAATGGCTTGTGCTTCTAATCACTTGGAACATTATGTTATAGTACCTTCTTAAGGACCTTTTATTTAAACTCTTCTTATTCAGATTCTAACTAAATCTCAGAAATTTCCCCAAAGGGCAACAAAAAATGAGCTGAATTTTCTTAGGACTTAAAGCAGTAGTCATCCTTTAAAGTTCTAGTGGTGGAGGAGACCCTAAGGTTCTTTAAGGAAAATAAACTGGCACGTACTCTGACAACAAAGTCTTTGTGTATGGATTTATTAACTAACAGCATGTCTACCTGATGACCTAAGTTTGATCCCAAGGTAGAAAGGTCCCAGCAATTTCTTTTCTCCTTAACTTGCTTTGGTGAGCATTCATTCAAACAAAATCATGGATCATTAAAGTGTTGAAGAACTAAACAATAACATTGCATTTTTTTTCAAGTATCTTATCACTTCATGCAATGCATGCTGAATGTGGAAAGTTGCAGTTCCTATACAAAACACTTGGCCATGTGTGGTGAACAGTGAAAGAATTGCTTGTTCTTTGGATTGAATATTTATGTTGTTCAGTCATGTCTATATGGTATGTATTCTTCGATGTCAGACTGGAATTCTGGAGTTCTGATTTAATGGGTCACAATCTGTAACAGATTTGTAAAAGATAGGATAATGGAAATAAGTGTTCATTTGTGATTAAGTTACAAAGCATTTTGTGAATATTGATTATAGTTAGGTATGAGGATAATTTTCAGAAATTCAGTCTCAACAAATTTGTAAGCTCATCTTTTAAAATAGTTTATAGGTGAAAATTTAATTAACTGAAGATATTTAATTAACTAAAAAATCTTTAAAAGCAGTTTTGCAAAAAAATTTCTAATTGAATCAATAAAATTGGAATAAAACCTATGATGGGTTTTCTAAAATAAATTTTAAATTCAGGTCTTATTGAAGTTAATAAATTATTTAAGTAATCAGTCAACTTCACAGATGTATATCTAGTTAAAATAACTAATGTAAGACCTAAAAGATTTAAAAATTATAATTATGCTTCATTGTTCACTCTTTCCACTGTCATAGTGGAGGCCCTTTTGTGCCTTATTAGATGGTCTTGAAGAGTTGTGTACCCAAGAAAACTTGTTACCCTGCAGACAACTTGGTTATGAACCTTTCTGTACTTTGTTAGGCCTGTCATTAGGGTCCAGCCTTGTTTCTACCCTTGTAGAAAGTCTGTGCCACTTGGCATCTCTGCCAGAGTGAGTCTGAGTTCTATTGGCAAAGCTTAAGGGAATTGACAGTCTTACCCTCACTACAGTCTCTTCAAAACAAAACTGTTCATAATGTAGCATAGATTTCTCAACCTATCTTTTATATAGGCAATAGATTTTTTTTTCCATTTTAGCCAGTTTTTGTAAATCTAACCTGTGACTTGATTTCCCTGTATTATAACTTATCCTTATTACTTTGGCATTTAAATCTGCCCTATGCTATGATAATGCTTTTTCTATTAAAGAGATTTTAATACTTAGTATTGTCCTTCAGAGAGATTTTTTTTTAATGTTTAATGTCAGATCATGTTTAAATTGCTCTGTTAGAAAAAGTGACACCTGATTGCCTCGTGCTCTAAGAAGGAATGGAAACACCAGTATTGTTACCATTGGTTGTGAGTCATATTTTGGTAGAAGCATTTGATCAAGTCACCTGTTTTTTTCTGCTGACTTTTTTTTAAGGTTTCTTGTTCCAATCTCAAGTGTTATCTGCAATGACATTACAGCCTACCTTTTTGGATTCTTCTTTGGGAGAACTCCCTTAATTAAGGTAATGTAAAAACTCGGCCAGGCAGTTATCATACTTTTTTTTTTCCAAAAGAAAAAGCAATAACAACAAAAACTCCAAAATTAAAAATATGTTAGAAATTTTTAAATGCAACAATACTTCATGTGTCTATACATGTAAAAAAGATTGGAAGGGAGCTCATGGAAGGAGAATGCAGAGGAACGATCTTAGCTCAGAAACCGTCGTGGCATAGGGGTACTTGGAAGGAGTATTATGAAATAATGCTAGAAAAGTAGAGGAGTGCCAGACAGTAGAAGGCCTTGAATGACATGACTAGATTTGTATGTAAGAAAAATTATTCTGGCATGTCTATGCAGCAGGGATTTGGGGGAAGAGGGGAAGAAAGGAACCGTGAGAAGGGATATGGAAGTATGAATGCCAGTGATGGCCTTACTAACGGAGTAGGAGTTAGAACTGAAGAAAAAAGGATGGAGAAAGAGATATTCTGAAATTGGACTAGAAGAAGGTGGCAAGAAGTAAAGGAAAAGGAAGACTTAAAAGACAATCCCAGGTTTTGAATGTGAGAGTTTGAATGGCCACAGCAAAAAAAAAAAAAAAAAAGAAGGAAATTAGGAGGAAAGGCAGCTTTATGAGAGCATGATTATAATTTCATGTTTTTATATGTTGCACTTGTTATGCTGATGGGACATTCAAATAGAGATTTCATGTAGGAATTGTGGATCTAAAACTTAGAGAAAGATCAAGGCTGTCTTCTTTTCCCTACTGGGTGAGGCCATCCAGGAAAGGATGATGTTTATTCATTGTTATATTCCACAGTACATAGTATATATGCCTTGTGCATAGAGGTTCAATATAGTTTTGAATGTATCCTGGTAACCAGTCTACATCATTAGGACTGATTGCAAAGTAAATGTCTTTTCCCCCCTTTATTATAAAAGGTGTGTAACTTTAGACTTTAGAATTAGTTATTGATTTGTGATGGACCTTATGTAGGAATACCAAAGAATTGGCAATATAGTATCATTTATTGAATGTTGGACATGAAATTCCCAGTCTGATATACTAAGACTCTTAGAGAAAACAACTTTGTAAAACTAAGAAAATATTTTGTCCTTTTCGGAAAGTATGGTGTTATAAACCCAGCATTAAAAAAATTCAATATGTTGAATAATCCATATTTGCTGAGTATTCATTGTGATTAATTCATATCATATTGGGTATATGTTATCTATCGCTGTAACATGTGTTAATGAAAGTATGAGAAAAGAAGACCTGGGTCCTTTTATTAGGGAGGTTAGAATTCAAGGACATGAGAAACCTATGTTACAGGAACATAAAAACATAAACCAATAATTATTTGACTAGCCGTGTAAGAAATTCAATAAAAATAGTAGTAAATTATGAGTGTGGAAAATTTTAAGTAAAAGGTGGGGTTACCAGAGTAATATGAATGATGAAGCCAAGTGAGGATAAGCTGACAAGTTTTCAGGTTGCTAAGAGCCTTGGAACAGGATTTATAGATGTCTATCTTTTTAATGTCTGTTTAGTAACTTATCTTACCTTTTCTGTTTGTTTGGTGGGGGGACCGCTGTTAGCTGTCTCCTAAAAAGACTTGGGAAGGATTCATTGGAGGATTCTTTTCCACAGTTGTTTTTGGATTCATTGTGAGTATTTCCACAATTTTTGTTTCTTGACATCCTTTCATCCTTTTGCAAATTATTTTGGTTTGTCCATCTGTTCTGAATCAGAACAGATTAAACTAGAAAATGCTGGTGAGGTTATTCCAGTACTACTCTGTGTACCATATCTGGATAAAAACCAAAAGTTTGAAAGCGTGCGTAAGTAAAAACTGTGTATATTGTCCTAAATGCAGTAAGACAGAAATAGTGTCTTTTCTTAATATGGTGACCAACTGACTTGTGGTCATGTATACTATTACAGTCAGCCAAGGTGCAGAAATGTTCTATTGATTCTGATATTCGGTTGTGCACTCTGAGCCATGAATGCTGAACATTTTAGATGATTTAAAAATATTTCATTTCTACAATTGTAAGCTTTGGGTAAAAAATGCTCAAGAAATGGATATTTTGAGTATTATAGGCGAAAATTGTATAATTACTTTTGAGTCACTGTATATAAAGTTATAATTATAACTTTATATGCCAAGGAGCCTTTTTTTTTCTTAGTGTAAGGAGATTGTTGAAAATTAGCTCTAGCTGCGTCACTAGCCTCAGCATTTCTGCATCTTATTTCTTGGTATCAAATTTAAGGTTGAAGCAATAGATTTGAGACTTTTTGGTAGCTGATAATTTCATATTCACATTTGAAGATAGTAGCTTATGTTTTAAGACCTCTTACCTTGTGTTAATACTAATTAGAATGAGTGTTTATACGTGTAGAATTGGTTCCTTCCCTTTGTCTGAGAGAAGGCCAGTGCATATTTAAGTATGCTCATATGACCCCTGATGAGGTTATTTTGTTTGTCTCCAGTTTAGGCAAAGGTGTGCATAAGGATGAAACTTTGGACGCTAGGGGTGGGAGTTTAAATCCCGTTTGTGTTTTGTTTTTTTAATTTTTCCCACAGTTTGGCTTAAGATATATCAGTGAGATGAATGAAGGAAATGACTGGAAGAGAAGAAAGGGTATACTTCACCAGATAAAATATGTGATAGATCACTTTTTTATAATGCCAACTAAGTGAATCTCTTCTAGTTTCATAAGTGGAGAAGATAAAAGGGGGATAATTAATTGAAGTTTAATTGGAGCTGAGAACACTGAAATGATCTTTCATTTATACCATTGGAAAACAAGATTTTTAATCATTTTCAGTGGTTTGGTTTGGTTTTGGGGATTAGAGAGGCTGACTTCTCATTCATTGTGAAATCAATCTGTAATCCCTGTTTACGATTTTTATACTTTCCCCCGAACCTACAAAGTTTATAATCGGGACGGTGTAAACTAAATGATTTTTTCCCCTTATCTTTTTTTTTTGATACCTTTTGATTTACATTAGTGTATGTATTAGACATCTGCTATGTGCCAGGCACTGTGCTAGTGATACAAAATGAAATGGTTCCTCCTCTCAAGTTGCTGACATTCTCTTGAGGGAGACAACATACAGAATACAGACTATAAATCATTTTATACACACACAGAGAAAATATATATTTTTTATAAAATATAAACAAAATTATACTAATATGTATGATACTCATATGATCTAATGATACGCATAGACAATCTAACCTTTATCAAAAGGCTTACTTAACGATAACGTGGAGAGGATTTTCATCAACGATAGAGCATTGGTTCAGGTAGGCATGGTTTCTCCTGATTCTCTGCCTTTGCCGTGGAAGGATACCTGGTCAGCAGGGTGTGTTTAGCCTAAGGAGCCCTAGACTCCTCAGATTGCTATTGATTGACATAGTGGGAAGCTATGTACTTTTGCCTTTGTGTCGCCGGACAGTTGTCTTTTAGGAAGAAATTAGTCTGACCCTACATGGTTGCTTCCACCACACCAAGGATTCCAAGAGGTAGGAAGTGGAAAGGAAGTACCCTCCAGGCATGGGAAATGGCCCATGAAGGGCACACAGATGGGACATGGAGTATTATGTGTGCAGACAGGACAGTGTGGCTGTGCCTTTGAATATCCAATGTGGGGAATAAAGTATAAAAAGACTGGAAAGATAGAAAGGGACCAGATTCTAAAAAGATTTAAATGTCAGAAGAGTTTATATTTTATCTAAGAGGCAGTAGGGAACCAAGTCAGCAGGAATTTATTAAGCACTTACTCTGTGCCAGCCACTGTGCTAAGCCATGAGACTACAAATGTAATAAAGAACAAAACCAGCTTGTATGCTCTGATGGGGGGCGGGACAGCAGGGGCGTCTGATGGTAAAGTCTGTGGGAAGGAGGGGACCTAACGAGATGTGTTGGAGGTGGAAGCATTAAGATTTGGTCAAAGGTTGGGTATATGTGGGGGTGAATGGATTAGTTGAGTAGTGAGTAGTAAGGTTGTGAGCCTTTGACAGTAATACAGGAATTTGGAAAGATGCTTATTGGCCTGGGGAGGGGTGGAGATAATGAGTTCTGTTTTGGAAATAAAGATATTGAGGTGCCCAGAGGACATGCAATTGGAAACCACTAATACTTCATGATGTAGGTCTCAGAAGAAGGACAAGGGATATGTGTGTCTGTGTGTCAGTTGCACAGAGGCGAGAATTGAACTTATGGGAAGTGATGAGGTGACAGACAGAGAAGAGAAAGGGGTCAAGATAGAGCCTTAAAGTTTCCCCAGAGTACATCGTCTTGGCCAGATTATGTCCCTCACTTTCCCTTACCTAGTGAGTCATCCTTCATAACAGAGATTGAAGAAGGAGAAAAGTTTAACAAAACCGTTCAGCACGTTAACCACGTCTCACAATAGATATACATGTTCCACACCCGTCATTGTCCACTTCAGTCAAAAGGGGAAGAAGGGTCATTTTCTCAACTCTTCTTTGCCCCCAGATTCCCTTTGTGGTTCATCATTATTTTTTTCCATTTACTTTCTTGTGAACGGTTTGATTTTCAGAATAGTGTCACCCAGGACAGTCCTTTATACATAGCATGTCTGAAAGTGTGTGTTTGAATTTAAATTGGGAGCAAGAATTGATATGTAAAAGTGTAAATTTTCTAACTCTAGTCTTTCTGACACAAAACTGAAGGGAGGTTTTTATGATAACACTTGATATTTAATAGATATTTGTTTTGTTTTACAGGCTGCTTACTTTTTAGCAAAGTATCAATACTTTGTTTGTCCAATAGAGTACAGAAGTGAAGTCAATTCATTTGTAACTGAGTGTGAACCATCAGAACTTTTCCAACTTCAGACTTACTCTGTTCCCCCCTTATTGAAGAGAGTGTTGAGATGGGTAAGAGAAACCTAAATATAAAGTCAATTTTAGAATAATAAAGTTAGCCTTCTAATGAACTGATTTATGTAGAAAATCTCTGATACAGCATAATCTCTCCCACCCTGAGAATAGAGTGAATGGTAAACTGAATAGTAAGCTAACCAACTTTGAGGAATTAATTACCTGGAGAATTGCCTTGGGTTTTAGGTACAAATTCCAAGATACCATTTAGCTCAGATATATTTGTGTTAGAAATATTTAATAACCCTTTGTTTTTCCAGATGAGAGGAAATTCAGTAGAAGTAGGTTATGATAATTAAGAAACTGAATTAAAAATGACAAATTCAGCATATCAATCCACTAGGTCAAAGTTAGTTAATTGTAGACATGAAATACAGCAAGAACTGCTGACATTTCTCAAATAATTTTCTCTTGCAGTATTTTTTGCTGTCATTTTAAAGAATCCTAGGGGTATAACTTCACACGGGATCAGTTCTGCGTTTTGTCCTCGGTACCTTTATTTTAAGGTTATAAAAGTACAGAAGCGTCATGACGCAGAGGATAAGGCATTCATCTTGGAGTCAGAGAGATCTGAGTTCACATTCTGCTTCTGACACTTGGTGGTTGTGTGAACCTGGTCAAGTGTCTCAGCGTTTAGCGTATGCTGCAGATTGGTAGAGGGAGATTCAGCTTTCAGAATCCCCTCTACCTATAGAGGCATCAGTCTGGATGCCCCCTCAACACAAAAACAGAAACGCATGTCATGAGCCGTGCTTTGTTTTGTTTTGTTTTGTTCTTTTACATCCCAAGAGTTGTGTGGGATCATGTCCTCAATAAAATTGTGACTGACCATAGCTTCTGTTTCTTTTCCTTCAGGATACAGTGAGCTTGTATCCATTCCAGATACATAGCATTGCCCTTTCAACATTTGCATCTTTAATTGGTCCATTTGGAGGTTTCTTTGCTAGTGGATTCAAAAGGGCTTTTAAAATTAAGGTAGGTATGTGCATTCTATCTCAGAACAGAAGCTGTGATTGTGCCTGTAATTGGAATTATTGTTCCTCCCTCGGTTGTATACCCTAAACCTCTTGGAAGAAAGGCACTGTCTTTTTTTGTTTTCCTCACAGATATACTAGATAATCTGTAAGCGTTGGCTAACCTAGTGAAAGGTTGTCGTAATTGACACGTTGATTTTTTTATTCCATGTGTCAGTTCACAGTGTTAAATGCTTTCTGTATCAACAAAATTGTTCTCTAAAAGTAGCATATATGTACATTGAATGTGTTGGCAGAATTCATCCCTGCCACTTCAGTCTTTTCTAAAAAATTTTCGTGGTGACCAGGTGTGCTCTTCCAGCCGCATTTGAAGAGGAGGGCTGAAGGCTGGGGCAGAGTTGAGTGGTTTAAGGCGACAGAAGAAGTCATCCCTGTTCCAGTCTGGTGGCCTTACTACTAGACTTCATCTCTAATTATTGATTGTTTCCTGGAACAAATTTAGATTAGGGTCAGCACTAGATGTCCCATGCTGGGTCATCACAAGGTCAGCCAAGTATTCTTCCCCCCACCCCCAAATTCATCATCACTAAATGCTATAAGCTACACCGACCATTACATGTCTGGGGCACCCAGCTCCCTAATACAGGGTCAGGATTTGGTGAGTAAGTCAGTAAGGCAAATAGGATAAAATAAAAATGCCTTTTACTGGAAAACAGACATTTAATAAGGATATTAATATACCACTGAGCGCAGCTCTCTGGGTACCCAAGTTGATAGCAGCAAAAGCCCACACTGGTGTTAGTAATTCTTCAGGTCCAAAGAGCTATACTCCCCTTTTTGGAACTGGCTTATTTGGGGTTCATCACACCATGAAAGGTAGGCCTTAGCTCATTTAGCTAGTATAGGTATCTTATGTCTAATTTGGAAGTTAAAAATACTCATGTCTCTAAAGAATAATATTGTCTTATGCTGCCTCCAGTTCTGGGTGTCTGTTAGAACCTTCACCAGGGGCTTCACATAGACTTAGAATTATTACTCAGAGCCTTAGCCCAAGGCCTGTACATACATTCATCTCTAAGGCATTTATTTGCTTTATATGGCACTCATGTGCCCTTCTACTTAGGGCTAGTGTGCACCTGGCATGTAATGTTTGGTGTAGCTGGTAGAATTTGGTAATAATGGGTTTGTGGCTTGCTACCCTGGGTCCAGTGAGAGAGTGGAAAAGCAGTGACTGCATAACTGTTCCCTGCGACTGAAAAGCTGGTGACTGAACTGATGGGGACCCAGTTGGTTGACCTTGTGATGTGCTGGGAGTTTGCTGGAAATTGGCCACCAGCCCTTAAGGACCTTACAGTGTAGGAAAAGAGACCAGACCTGGATACACCCACAAGCTAAGTACCAGGCGAATGGTGCCAGCAAAATACTGCAGGATCTCAGAGTGGGGAGAGGGTTCTTTGAGCAGAGAGAAATTATTTTGTGATTACAAGAACTCAGGGGACAATGGTGGAAACTTCACAAAATTCTGCAGTTGCCAAATTGACCTCTGTGTAGCTCATGTAAGCTCTGAGCATCATTATCCTACCTCCTACTCTCCCAAGTAAGTCTCGGGTCCCAGATCAGTCCTTCTTCTCGCAGGGTCCTAGTGGTGCCTCAGTGGAATTGGAGTGTCAACTAAGAATCATTGTAGCCAGCCAGCCTGGAGTAGTTTTTAGAAACGGGGATTTCCTGGTTGGTACAAAACATCACCCCAACATCGGTGACACTCACTCTCCCACTGATCCATGCAGGGAAAGAGGCTCGAGGTCAGAGAGCACAGGTGGCAGAGCAGTAGCTCCCAGCCCATTATTGCTGAAGCTCTGTTCTCCCAATCAAGGGCTTCAGAAGTTTCCTTTAGACGTGGTGCAGTGCGGAGCTGGGATGCTCCTAGGACACCAGGGGGCAGGGGAGAAATTCACATTCCTCCTGAAACACCGAGCTAAATTTCTTGAGGTCCTCCTCTGGCCAAAGTGTATGCGGGGGTGGGGGAGCGTGAAGCCTATTCTCTGTTCCCTCCCCTCCTCACCATACAATCCTTTCTAAGGGGGGTTAGCGAGAATGCTGCACTTGCTCCTGTCTGTGGAGTAACTGGCTCTAATCGTGCTTGATTATTTTACAGACATCCCCTGAAGCATGATTAAGTTTCTTAGGTCTATCTTTTCCTCTGGAACATCATTCTCATTCCAAGAACTTTTCACATTTACTCTATGAAATTGATAGCTTGGGCATTTTATCACATACTTGAATAAATCAATCAATTCCACTCTTAGCTCAGTGCTCCTGAATTTCTACACCTCATTGCCCCACAGTGATGATGGACCATGTAACTGGAAAGAGTTGGGGAGGTTTTGGCCAATTTTCCACATTGAATTCATTTATGATTGTGATCTATTTGTATAGACTTTTCCAAGAATTGAAAAGGTAGTAAGCTTTCAGTACTGAAAAAAATTAGTTTTACATTTGGCAGAAAATCACAACTATACCATTTTTTCTTATCCTACACAAACTGAAGTACCAGAAAATCTGGTGCATATCTAAGGATGTGACTAATTGTTATTTGTGTAAATTTTTTTTGTTCGGAAGGATTTTGCAAACACTATTCCTGGACATGGAGGAATAATGGACAGATTTGACTGTCAGTATTTGATGGCAACTTTTGTGCACGTGTATATTACCAGTTTCATAAGGTACAAACTTGTGTTTACTTGTAGTATTATGTTAGATTATTTTATTTTTTGCATGTGATGTTCTTAAAGATATCATTTTAAAATTCTTTAACCACTGGGTGCAGTCTTTAATAAACTTGGGAGAAGGGTACAATTAGCATGGTACTTTATATAGGAACAATCTTAATGAAGGTTTCTAGTTTCTCAACTTTTGTCATTTGTTTGGGATGGAAAGGGAAGAACATTATTACTGCCAACACTCAGCTCACTTGCCATTAAATATGGCATTGTGTAATAGGGAAAGATTGTACCTCTTTGTACATTCAGTTTTATTTTTCTAGTGCTGTTTTTTATTGTAGTAGAATCCATGTATTATATTAGTGTTGAGTGTTGACTAATTTTAGAGGTATTTAGTATTCATTTGACATTTTATTTGCTTAGTTATATTTGAATTGATGTAGTTTATATGGACATTATATTGTAGATTTATTACTTTTTTGAATAACTTGAATCAATAAAATTTTTTAGACAACCATATTGACAATAAAAACAACAAAAATCATATGATTACTTAAATTAAATGCAGAAAAAATGTGACAAAATACAATACTCATTCCTATTTAAAACACTAGAAAACATAGGAGTAATTTGAGCTTTCCTTAAAATGATCTGTAGTATCTAAAAGCAAGAGCAGGCATTAGCTATAGAGGGAGGGGACGACTTAGAAGCCTTTTGTATGTAAGAGCAAGTGAAACGCTGATATCCATTATCACCATTAGTATTTAGTATTGTACTGGAAATGCTAACTATAGCAATTAGACAAGAAAATTAAATTAAAGGGATAAGCCTAGACAAAGAAGAAACAAAAATTGTGACTTTTTGCAGATGATACGAGAATCTTAGAGAGTCAGCTAAAAACCTAACTGAACAATTAACAGTTTCAAGCAAAGTTGCAAGATAAAATTTAAACCCACACAGATCACCCACATTTTGTATATTTTATAAACAGAATAAGTCAAGATAGAAAGAGAAATCCCATTTAAAATAACTACAGAATAAAATAAATACAAATAAAATACTTTAGAGTTAACCTGCCAATATACTCAGAGGAGCTTTACAAATACAGTTACAAAATACTGGTTTACACAAAGGCAGATCTACATAATTAGAGAAATAGTTGCTCGTGGGTAGGCTGGGCCAATATAATAAAAATTGTGATACTCCCTGAATTAATTGACTTCAGTGCCATACCAATCAGACTATCATTATAGAGCTAGAAAAAAATCATAACATTCATCTGGAAGAAAAAAAAAGATGTGGAAAATATCAAAGGAACCAATGGAAGAAAAGTGGAAAGAAAGAGAGCCAGCAGACCTAATTTCAAACTGTGCTACACAGCCACAATTGTCAAAACATTTTGAAACTAAGCAAGAAATAGAAGAGGTTGATCAGTGGAATATATTAGGCACACAATATAAACTAGAGGTTAATAAATCCCCAAATCCTAGCTATGGGAGCAAAAAATGTTGGGAAAACCGGCAAATGGTATGGCAGAAACTATGCATAGATGAGCATCACCCCCAATACAAGGAAAAGATCCAAACAGGCACATGATTTAGACATCATAAGTATATTGGAAGCATGGGAGAATCTGTCAGCTTTATGAAGCCCATGGGCCTGGGGAGAGGAATAGGGTCTGACCCAGAGTCTCAGAGCCCTACTGCCTTCACCTGAAGCCAGAACCATTCATAACCTTGACAAATTGTAAACTGCATCTTTTTTCTTTTATCACCAGGGGCCCAAATCCCAGCAAAGTACTTCAGCAACTGTTAGTGCTTCAGCCAGAGCAACAGTTGAATATCTACAAAACCCTGAAATCTCATCTCGTTGAGAAAGGACTCCTCCAGCCATCCCTGAAGTTATAGCTGGATCCATGAGGAACTTTAAGCAATTCTGTAGAAAAGCACTGACATATATTTTGCACCTGTCTAGAAAAAATGATTTAATATGCAGTAAATTGAGGTTTTTAAAGACATGAATGTTACTTCTCTAAAATTACTGTGAATATTTAATAAACATTTGATCCAAGTATGAAATATATAACAAATTGCTTGCAAAACTATCCTGTATTTTTTCTAGTGTATCTCATGATGTTGACAAGACATCCCACTCCTTATCTACAGGGTTTCAGAATGGAAGAACTCAAACATTCTCAAATGTATAAATTAAGGAAATGTTAAGGTTGTCCTAGATATATCCCTTGGCCAAGTATTTGTCCATGCGATTCAAAACAGCCCTTTTAGCTAAAGGTTTTATAGTACAGTAGAAAATCCACTTAACCAGTAGATTCTCGTTGTTTTATTCTATTTTCTCAAGGATAACTGTGTGACTAAGGCATGAATATACTTAGTATAGCTGAAAAGAATAAAATCATTTGTCAGGCAAAAGGGTATTTTTTTTTAAAGATGAGGGTAAAATAAAGAGACTAATCTGCATATCAGACAATTGGCCAGCATTTAACTCTTTCTAATTAAATTGTATGTAACGTTCTCTAGGATCATCAGTGTGACTGAAGGACAATATGAAGAGCGTTCTGTTCTGCCTGAGGTACCCACTGTCAAACACTCCTTTGGGGAAATGGATTCAGAACAGTCACAGGTCCAAAACAAAAGACCCCAGTTTAGTTAGTAGACATATGGCAGGATATTTGCGGTAAGCTGTTTAGACTTAAGGCCATTTCAGTTTCCTTTCCTTGACTGTATTGGCCTCATCAGAGATGCTGACACCACTGTGGCACCAGGGGCTGCTTCTACACCATTGGCTTATATCGTGATCTATCTTTAAAGTCGTGAGTAAATCATTGAACTTGAGGAAGGAGACTTTGATCGAGAACAGAAAGTCCAAGAAGGCCAAGCCTTTGCTTTGGTTTACTGGAGACCTGAACCTAATTACATTTGTCATAAATGGATCTAAACAAACTACTGATGGTGTAGAAATTCTCACTCTTTATTTAGTTTACTGGTTGGAACTAACACTTGAAGAAATTTAGTGCTCCTGGATTAAACTACATAGGGAATGACAGATGTATCTGTAAAGAACATTACACCAACAAGAACAGTCAATATTTTTGTTTATGTCAGAATTAAATTCCAATCACTTTTGAATATGTAATGTGAGAAGTTTCTTTTAGCCTTAGGCACTATGTAAGTATTCTGTAAATAGCCTGGAAACATGAGAAATGGTTGAATGGAGAGCTGAGAATTCTACTGCTTAGTCCTACATTCATTTGGTTATCATTTGTTATTGAATGAGTACAATCAGCAATATCTCATTGTGCTTTTCAATAAAAATCTCGAAATGGCATTGGAAGATTCTTTGATGAGTTTCAGAATTAGGCTGCTTTATCATTTGTCTGTTTTTGCTCTTTATATTTGTCCCATCAATCACTAATAGCAAATCATAAAAGCACTTTGGGCATATGTAAACACGGATGACATGTGGTGGATTTTATAAAGTAAATATGTATATGTGTATGTATATGCATGCGTATGTGTATCAGGAAGCTTGTTAGGTATGTTTTAATTGGCTGTCTCATACACATGTGCATTTTGTATAGAAAAAAAAATCTAAATTTGGGAAAAATTTAAAACAGGCCATTAAATGATTGCTAGATATAATGGAACAATTAGAAGAATCTAAAGAAATAGCTATCTTGTAAACAATGAAATGCATTATAAAATATAAGCCTATAATGGCCTTTTTGGTTACAGATAAGACTTCAAATTGGGTGTACATTCTATATGTAAAAACAGTCTTAATTTTTATTTTAACAGAGTTATAAAGATTTCACTTTTTTTAGAGTAATTTTATAGCATGTATCTTAAAATAGAGTCTATTTTAACAAATGCAACCTACCCAAGTGGGTCATTTTTATATTTACACTGTGAAGAGATATTTCAAGATAGTAATTGTGATGGTAAGAACAAAGCCAGCATCTTCTTTTTCAGCCATAATAATGGCCAATTATTCTAAATTTAACTTTTAAAAAAAGTATTCTAGTTATTGCTTTCTGCTCTTACATTTGCTGGTTTACTTTTTAATCCATGGAAGGTAGAAAACGTCCTTCCTTTTAGTGATTTTTTTGCCCCCCCCATTGGTTGGTTCATAGGTAAGTGTTTTCTGTTTAAGAATGCAATCAATAAACGGGGCGGAGGGTGGGGAAAGAGAGATCTGCTTTTCCATTGATGGCTTCTCTTCACTTACATTTCAGTTTTTGCAAGGATGTCAATGTAGATACTTTATACAGGTGCCAGTTTATTGTGTGTATTCAAATTGGTTGCCTAAATCTACTAAAGCTGGGTTGAGGGAAAAATAAAACTTAAAACTCCATTATAGACTCTTGTAGTTTTCTCCTCTTAGTTGGATAGAAACGTCCTTAATAAATGTATCTGCACCGTGAAAAATTATTTCAATTTGCAAATGTTACTCATGTGTCTGATAAGGGACTTGAGGGAAAATGTAAAATGCGTGGTAGCAGTTAATCACCCCAAATAACCTGATAGTTGCCTATGTTTCAGGAATCATTTGAAGGCACACAGAAATATGATATCCCAAATCATGGTATAAGCCATTCCACTTTAGACATTTGGTCAGAGGGTATGAGCAGTTTGAAGAGAGAGATGTAGATGCTATCAGCCCCTTGCAGAGGAGGGGACTAGGGGGAGGAAGCCAGGATATTGAGGGCTTCGGAAGCCAAGCAGGATTTTATAGTTACTCCTGGAGAAGACGGAGCCCCTGGACTTGACTGAATGGGTGGGATGGGGAGGTGAGGGTGGGGGAGCGTGAAATGGTGACATTTCAGCTTTGGTGGCTGAGGAGCATGGGCTGGAGTTGGGGGAGGACAGGGCAGGATGACACTGTCAGGCCGTTGCAGTAGTCCGGGCGCTGATGGCCTGCACCAGAGTGGTAGTATCATCAAAGAGCCTGGTGTACTAAGGTCTATGGGGTCATGAAGAGTCAGACGTGATTGAATGATTGAACAAAACAAATATATAAATCATGTCTATGGTATGTGTGTATATACACAATTCATTCAATAGGGAATATCCAGGCTCAGGAACATTTTGTAGAGGTATACCCTTTTGCTTGATTCAGAGGGCAACAGAGGAGTGCTGGATGGGAAGAAAAGAGACTTTCTTCTTCCTCTACCCATTGACCGTGACATTTGAACCACTGGAAATTTAGGAGCCAATGCATCCAGACACAAGTAGAGGCACAGACTTGAGGACAGACAGATGCAGGGAAGAGGACCTTTATATGACACATAAGGGAAGTGGCAGGTTCGGGGAGGGTGGCAGATGCCATGTGGCAGAAATGAGTAAAGACTATAGACTTGAAAAAGGACAGTACCAGAGGGTGGGTTACTCTTTACCACGTCCTTTGTACTCTTCCCATGCGTTTATGGGAGATTATACTTGTTAGGTTTGGGGAGACTATGTTTAACACCAATTGTCGTCATATCATTTTAGTAAATGCTTTTTTCTAAAAGCTAATTAAGTCTAATTTTAATTAGATTGTTAATGTGAGGCACATCAGTACAGTTTCATAAACAACTGTAACAAGAGTAGCCTGAGTCACAACTCTCTGGGTAACCTAACCCATGAGTGTGAGTGTAACCTGGGGGAGCAGCTCAGATGGGCTCTTACGTTAAAAACAAACAAACAAACAAACAACCATTTTGGACTTCAGAACACTGATCAATTTAGTGCCTAACCATAGATCTAGAGATCTGATAATGATTGACAGAGGTAATGCATTCTAGCTGAAGGAGGAGGCTTGCTTTTTCAAGCATGGTCAATGTGTGAATTTGTTTTTCTTGATTATGCCTATTATAAGGGAAGATGTGTATTTTGGGGAATTTGTTGGGTAGGGGGAGCTGTTGATCGTGAGGGCAGAAAGAGAAAAAGAAGAAGAGGAAGAAAAGATCATTACTGACAAGGAAATTGAGAAGGAAACAGGCAAGCCACCTTTGAAACTAATGTGTTGAATATGTGCTTTTTAAAATGTGCACTACATGTACTATATATACACACACACTATATAGGTGTTGAATATATACACTTTTAAAAAGCAAGCCATACATGGAATATAATATCCCAGAGGGCAAGGAAATAGGATTACAACCAAGAATCACCTACCCAGTAAAACTGAGTCTAATCCTTCAGGGGAAAAAATGGAAATTCAGTGAAATAGAGGACTTCTACGCATTCTTGATGAAAAGACCAGAGCTGAATAGAAAATTTGACTTTCAAATACAAGACTCAAGTGAAACATGAAGAGGTAAACAGGAAAGAGAAATCATAAGAGACTTAGTAAGGTTGGACTGTTTACTTTCCTGCATGGAAAGATGATATATTTAACTCATGAGACTTTTATCAATATTAGGGTAGTTGGAGGAAAAAATTATATGTGTATATATATAGATAGATAGATAGATATAGATAGAGGGCACAGGGTGAGTTGAAGATGAAGGGTGATATCTGGAGTGAGAGAAGATTATACTGGGAGAAGGAGAAAGGGAAAGGTAGAATGGAGTAAAGTGTCTCACATAAAACGCAAGAAAAAGCTTTTACAATGGAGGGGAAATGGGAAGGTGAGAGGGAATGAGTGAATCTTATTCTTATAGGATATGGTTTAAGGAGGGAATAACATACACACTCAGTTGGGTATGGAAATTTATCTTACCCTTCAGGAAAATAGGGGGGAGGGGGACAAGAGAACAGGGGGATGATAGAAGGGAGGGCAGATTGGGGGAGGGGGTAATCAGAAGCAAACACTTCTGAGGAGGGACAGGGTCAAAAGAGAATAGAATAAATGGGGGGCAGGATAGGATTGAGGGAAATATACTTAGTTTTTCATAACATGACTACTATGGAAGTGTTTTGCATAACTACACGTGTATAATCTGTAAAAAAAAAAATAAAGCAAGCCATACACAATAGAAATTCATGATCTCACATATTTTTTCTTTGAATATTGAAATTCTCATATTTGTTGGTGTTTGTCACATTCAGAATAATAAAAAATTATTTAAAAATATAATCCTGAAATAGTGTGGTGCATGAGTGAGTCGAACAGTGTTCTTGTATAGATATCTGTATGTCTGTATCTATATATATCTGATACACATCTGAAGAGAGATGATCATTGAACCTAAGGGAGATGATGAGGTTCCCAAGTGACAAAGTGAAGGGAAAAGAAAAGGAGGCCCAGGACAGAGCCCTGGGGTCATCACATGGATGAAGATGCAGCAACATAGATCAACGAGAAAGAATTAAACATATAGGGGAAAGAGGAGTATTATAAACAACCCAGAGAAATATGGAATATTCGGGATGAGAGAGTGGTCAACAGTGTCAAAAGCTGCACAGAAGTAAAGGATGATGACTGAGAAAAGTTCATTCGATCTGGCAAGTCAAAGATCATGAATTACTTTAGAGAGAGCAGTTTTAGTTGAGGGATGAAATCAGAAGCCGTATTGTTTCCAGTTGAGAGGAGAGAGGAAAGGAAATAGAGATGAGTGCAGAAGGCTCTTTCAACTTGTATGGTTGAAAAGGGAAGAGAAATTATTCTAAATCTAGCTAGCTAGAATGCTAGGATCCAGTCAGGGTTTATTAAGTATGAGTGAGATGGTCAAGTTAGTAATAATAATAATATGTGCCAAGTGCTGTGCTAAGTGCTTTGTAGTTACTATTGCATTTAATCCCCACTCTTGGGAGATAGGTGCTATTTTACAGATGAGGAAACTGAGGCAAACATAGGTGAAATGATTTGTCCAGGGTCTCACAGCTGGATATTTGAACTTAGATCTTCCTGACTCTAAGCCCAGAACTCAATGTACTGTGTCACCTAGCTGTCTATAGGCAGCAGAGAAGGCAGATAGGCAGAGATTGAAGATTAACGTTAGTAATGTAATGTCCAAAATAAAGGATATAGCCTTCCTTTTTATTAATAATTGAGAAATAAACTTTGCACTAGGATTGAGTGCCTGAAATAAAAAACATATATCCTTGTGATATAAAGCAGATTAAAGCATCCCCTACACAGGACTATCATTTCCACTTCCTCTCCCAAACCCTAATTAAGTATGACTTCCCAAGTGGATCTAAGTATTTAAAAGTTGAAGCTTAAAGGTTCTTGGGGCAGCTCTTTGTAGGCCCCACCAGGGCCAGCTGACCAGGCTTAGTCACATCTTCAGATGAGAGTGAGAAGGACCATAAACCGGAATAGGATTAATTCCATTCCTAAGCAACCAAGTAGACCTTTGAAAAAAAATAATTGATCTGGATCTTGTATGTGTATTGTTGCCAAACTC